TCCAAGGATATGCATCATTTCCAAGTTCTCTAATTCCTTTAGATACACCTCAAATCTCCTATGAAAATCAGAAAACAGTGGAAGGTTTCCAGTAAAAGACATATTCTGATCCGAATTGGCATTATATTGACAAGTGGGAGTTTTGAGACTTGAAATAAGTGGGACTCTTTCTAGTAAAAGTCATATTCTGATCCCAATTGGCATTATATTGACAAGTGGGAGTTTTGAGACTTGAAATAAGAGGTAGAAACTGCTAAATGTGGAAGGAGATGCATCATTTCGATGTTTTCTAAATCCTTTAGATACACCTCAATTCTCCTATGAAAATCAGAAAACAGGGACTCTTTCTAGTAAAAGTCATATTCTGATCCCAATTGACATTATATTGACAAGTGAGAGTTTTGAGACTTGAAATAAGAGGTAGAAATTACTAAATGTGGAAGGAGATGCTTCATTTTCAAGTTCTCTAATTCCTTTAGATACACCTCAAATCTCCTATGAAAATCAGAAAACAGTGGAAGGTTTCCAGTAAAAGACATATTCTGATCCGAATTGGCATTATATTGACAAGTGGGAGTTTTGAGACTTGAAATAAGTGGGACTCTTTCTAGTAAAATTCATATTCTGATCTCAATTGACATTATATTGACAAGTGGGCGATTTGAGACTTGAAATAAGATGTAGACACTACTAAATGTCGAAGGAGATGCATCATTTCCAAGTTTTCTAATTCCTTTAGATACACCTCAAATCTCCTATGAAAATCAGAAAACAGGGACTCTTTCTAGTAAAAGTCATATTCTGATCCCAGTTGACATTATATTGACAAGTGGGCGTTTTGAGACTTGAAATAAGATGTAGACACTACTAAATGTCGAAGGAGATGCATCATTTCCAAGTTTTCTAATTCCTTTAGATACACCTCAATCTCCTATGAAAATCAGAAAACTGGGATTCTTTCTAGTAAAAGTCATATTGTGATCCCAATTGTTATTATATTGACAAGTGGGAGTTTTGAGACTTGAAATAAGAGGTAGACACTGCTAAATGTGGAAGGAGATGCATCATTTCCATGTTTTCTAATTCCTTTAGATACACCTTAACTCTCCTATGAAAATCAGAAAACAGGGACTCTTTCAGTAAAAGTCATATTCTGATCCCAATTGGCATTATATTGACAAGTGAGAGTTTTGAGACTTGAAATAAGAGGTAGAAACTACTAAATGTGGAAGGATATGCTTCATTTCCAAGTTCTCTAATTCCTTTAGATACACCTCAAATCTCCTATGAAAATCAGAAAACAGTGGAAGGTTTCCAGTAAAAGACATATTCTGATCCGAATTGGCATTATATTGACAAGTGGGAGTTTTGAGACTTGAAATAAGTGGGACTCTTTCTAGTAAAAGTCATATTCTGATCCCAATTGGCATTATATTGACAAGTGGGAGTTTTGAGACTTGAAATAAGAGGTAGAAACTGCTAAATGTGGAAGGAGATGCATCATTTCCATGTTTTCTAAATCCTTTAGATACACCTCAATTCTCCTATGAAAATCAGAAAACAGGGACTCTTTCTAGTAAAAGTCATATTCTGATCCCAATTGACATTATATTGACAAGTGAGAGTTTTGAGACTTGAAATAAGAGGTAGAAATTACTAAATGTGGAAGGAGATGCTTCATTTTCAAGTTCTCTAATTCCTTTAGATACACCTCAAATCTCCTATGAAAATCAGAAAACTAGGACTTTTTCCACTAAAAGACATATTCTGATCGAATTGGCATTATATTGACAAGTGGGAGTTTTGAGACTTGAAATAAGAGGTAGAAACTACAAAATGTGGAAGGAGATGCTTCATTTCCAAGTTCTCTAATTCCTTTAGATACACCTCAAATCTCCTATGAAAATCAGAAAACAGGGACTCTTTCTAGTAAAAGTCATATTCTGATCCCAATTGGCATTATATTGACAAGTGGGCGTTTTGAGACTTGAAATAAGATGTAGACACTACTAAATGTCGAAGGAGATGCATCATTTCCAAGTTTTCTAATTCCTTTAGATACACCTCAAATCTCCTATGAAAATCAGAAAACTGGGATTCTTTCTAGTAAAAGTCATATTCTGATCCCAATTGTTATTATATTGACAAGTGGGAGTTTTGAGACTTGAAATAAGAGGTAGACACTGCTAAATGTGGAAGGAGATGCATCATTTCCATGTTTTCTAATTCCTTTAGATACACCTTAATTCTCCTATGAAAATCAGAAAACAGGGACTCTTTCTAGTAAAAGTCATATTCTGATCCCAATTGACATTATATTGACAAGTGAGAGTTTTGAGACTTGAAATAAGAGGTAGAAACTACTAAATGTGGAAGGAGATGCTTCATTTCCAAGTTCTCTAATTCCTTTAGATACACCTCAAATCTCCTATGAAAATCAGAAAACAGTGGAAGGTTTCCAGTAAAAGACATATTCTGATCCGAATTGGCATTATATTGACAAGTGGGAGTTTTGAGACTTGAAATAAGTGGGACTCTTTCTAGTAAAAGTCATATTCTGATCCCAAT